AAAATGTCCAAGCACGTTAGAAAATTTCACAACATTTTCCCCTCAAATTTCCATAGCGCGCATGCGCCATCTCCCAATATTACCCCCACTCGATAAATGTATGACAACCCTTGTAATAGCGTCAAGTCCCCTATAATTGGGACCTTAATTATTTTATGGCTGCAGCTCCGAGCTTACCTGAGGTTGCCCACCTCTGGTATAAACATTCATTCAACGTAGCCATGCCACCAACGAAAGTAGTTGAAAGCTTGTTAGTTATCCATTCAACTGGTGTTGGCTGATTATTCCCCCAATTCAAATCTTGAGCAATTGGAGCACAGTATTTGGCATCACGTCTTGCGTATGGTATCAATAATTTTTCAATTACACCACCCATGTGGTTAAGAAATAAACAACAGGTTTCAAGAGGAATTCCTACTTAGAACCACAGAAGAAACATCGAAGACTAGTGACTGTTTTTTCAAATCCTAGCTCTCATTAACTGACAGTTGAATGGAGATTATAATCTACCAAGTTCCTCTCATGCGGGAAACATTGGTCAGATACCCGATTGTTTCCCAGTGGCCATAGTATTGTGCTTATTGGGCCTAATTATGCACGTTATCCAAATCACACTTAATTAATGTTGCGATTACTAACTGCTTTTGTTTTCACTCATGTTCCCAAATTTGATGTTCGTCTAATTGTATTAAGTTGAAACGTTATGTGTGTTCATTGCAAGTTCATCTTGTTAAGAATCCCCAGGATTTTAGTAATTTTGATAATTGTACAATTCTTTCATCATTAACAAAAAACATATATTTGTAAAGTTTCCGCTGTTGTCTTCCATTCGTTCAGTCTTTCTAAGTTTTTTTTTTGCGTTTGCTCTGTTACGAGAATCCTCAATATGAAACCGAAAAATTCTAGAAAAGGTTGTAATGTATTGTCATTTTTTTATTCTTTAATTTAAAAAATGTTATATCCTTTCGAGAGGATATAATATCGATTGATCGAAGTGTCGACCTGCTTTTTCAATCGAAATTGTATTCTAATTGTTTCATCTTTCCATCTGAAGGGATGAAATTTGAATTTAATTGCGTATTTCTTATATATCAGGGACTCAGATTAGCGGATGCAGAAAAATAATATTTTCCCAACATCCGCTTGGGAAAGTCCCCGGGCATTTTCCCCCAGAAAATTCCTGTTTTGAACCTCCAATTCCTTTAAATTATTCTCAACATATGAACTCCTATAATTTCCTCTTGTCCATAGTTTTGTAGAATAGAAAAATTTTCCTTAACACCTTTTACAACTTAATCCTTTCGTGCACAATCGTCGCCAGTCTTCCATGGGGTCAGTTTTATGATACGAAATTTTCCCGTTTTTTGCCTGAAAAGGCGAGAGCGGTTTATCTAGTACAGACATGCATCCTTTTTTCTAGCTGACCTTTCACCAATTAGAGTTAGAATCTTCCCTTTCCTAAAACCTTAAAAATGGTAAGGACCCGCCTGCAAGGGAGGTGAAAGAACGAGAAGAAGTGTTCTATTCAGTCCGCAATACAACGTCAACCGATAACTTTGTCCAGTTTTTTAATTTTACGAAAGTCGACTTAAAAATTTATTCAAGGTTTATCTGTATTCTGTAATATTTCTTTTTGTCAATAATACATAAATACACCAAATTCATTAACCAAGTGTTTGTGCAATTCTTTCTTAATATTATAATAAAAACAAAAAAGGAGTGAAGTGAAATTCTAAGTTTGGTCCTTTATTCAGTCGAGTGAAATTACGTCAATAGCTCGAAACGTGCACGGGATAAAACTGTTAATTCCGCACACATTAATTCTATTTCTTCCTTAAATTGGATTGATTACTTCATATGTGACGAATGATAAATCTGACCAACTCTGTGAAATTACTTAAACTTAATTTTAAATTTGAATGAATTATATTTTGTATTTCTCTAATGACATAAGTCTTTATTGAACTTAAGTATTTTTTGAACATTTCCTCCTTTTAGAAATAGGCCGCAATGCCATGACAGGCGTAGCTTTTTCCGATAATTTTATTGTTTTCAATGTTTATTGAAAGTAATAAAATGGAAACTGTACGCATAATTTCGTTGTTATTAATTAGGTGCAATCAATCACTTTTTCTACTGATTGACATTTGATGAACGAAATAAGGATAATAAGGAAAATATAAGAAATTGATGAATTTGTTTTCAAGGCCTGGCTTTCAATGTGACAGGAAAAAGTACCAACATGTGTGGAGTGAAGTAAGGACTTGTTCGTGACATGGATGAATCTGAATGAAGTGGGATAAATGTACAGGAGTACAATGAAGGCTTGGCGGTAAAATAAACGGAGAATTGGGTGTTTTGGAATGACATAGATGTATTGAGGTTAAATGAGGGCTCGGGGGGTGGGAGGCGAGACTCCGGGTAAAGCGGGGGGTTTTAGTTTAGAACGGGAGTGTAAAGATGAGATCGATGTGTTGGGGTAAATTAAGCATGGGCGGGTAAAATGAATGCATGAGAACAAAATGTGGGATCGGATGAAAAGGGGGGGTTTGAGGGATCAGAGCGTTGAGATCAAATAAGGATTTGAGGGTGGGATGGGTGCCTTGGGTAAAGCTTGGGCTTGAGACTGAAATGAGTCCGGTGCGGTCAAAGGTGGTATGCAAGGGTGAAGTTAGGTGTTTCGAGGCCTCCGAGAGGTTGGACGATCAATAATTTTTTCAAAAGGAGACCCCAAGGGCTGACTTGAGCGTTACATAACAATAGGGCCCGACACTATAATTATTTTTATTGTAGTTTCTAGGCTCAAAGGGATAAATCCCACCAATAGTTTATAGGTATTAAAATATGAGAGTTTATTACTTTAGTTATGCCATCCCACTAATTACGAAGATTACGACTAACACATGTCGGAGCCCAATTTGGATCTGCATTCTGCATACCCCAACGGCCTCTTAAATAAATAATTGTTTGTGTGCCATTACTTGGTCAGCATAATCCAGTTATGCTGGTAAGTGTCACGCTGACAATGCTGGGTGCCCAAATATTTAACAATAACCCAATTAACCAAAATCTGGGGCATAACAGATCAAAAGAGAATGGAATCGTATTATGTGGGGTCAAACGCTAAACTGTAGTGGGTTAGGCTAGGTCCAGCTACGATAGAGAATTACGCGAAAACAGAGAGGATTTTTAAATAGCATAGTTTTATCGATCTGCCCAGAAAATACCATTGTTACAGTAATCCAAGATAAAACCACTTTAAAAAGTTGGGATAAATAGGAGAAGAACAAGATTGCAGAAAATTATAATTGGATAAAAACCGACAGTTGTCCACAAATAAAGGTGAGAAACCTCTCTCACGATCACGCGATCACTCAGTGTGGTTGTTGGTAGGCTGAAGAAACTCCTTATAGGGACAGAAAAATTCACCGGTGGTGATTCGTCAGGTGATGGCCGAGGAATTGAAAAGGTTTTCGATCCATAAATAAATAGATAGGTGAAGTGAACGACCTCGGTGGTTTGGAGAGAAAGTGTAGATGTTGAGAGTTTTCAGCTGTCAGGTGAAAAGGTATCGTCGACGATATGTTGTTGTATGTTGTTTCCCTATCTGGTGATTTATCGAAGAGGGCAGGTAAGTTGCCCGTGGAGTGCTAAA